CATCCATCCCTGCCCTCTGGCAGTGGAAGCCATTCCCTGTGTCCTGTCCTATCGTTTTCACCGCTAGAAATGAAGGGATGGGACTATTTTCAGGCTAAGAACAATTTATTGCTCAGACAAACACCAGTCTCAGAGGCTGTGAGATTTTAGAGGATCAAGCATTTGGCCACAGCTCAAGAGCAGTCACAAGTTCTTTGTTACAAGGCAATACAGAACTCTCTAACCCAATGGACAGTTGCCACAGGGTTTATTTTGCTTTTCTCACCCATCTCCTTTACTCCCTCCTGCTGCACTGAGGATGCTTTTGTCCAATGGGCTTCTCTCTCACAGGCACACATCTGCTTCTGTTATAACTTCTAAACTCTCAGTAATTCCATACAGCCCCGCCCCTGCACGATAAACCCTTCACCATCTTATCAGTGCAGTTTCTCACTTCCTTAAGGCATATACTTACTTACAGCTATAGAAACACAAGTTGATGATTTTTCTGCTTAATATCTGTGGATTGTATTTTTACATCAACCCAAGCTTCTTCCAAGGCTGCAGATCAAACCGTATGATGAGGATTTTCTCCAAGAGCTCCAAGTCCTGCCCCAGAGCTGGACTCCTGCTCCAGGTGGGCTCTCTCCAAAGTGGGCCTTGCTCAGACAGTAAACATCTGTGGTTTTAGCACAGTTTAAAACAGTGGATGAAAAAATGCTCCAAAATGACCCCTTGGTAGAATCCTTTGTCCATCCAGTCACTGACTCTGCTGTGACTTGATGTAGTTTCTCTGTCCTCACACTGAAGGCCAGGCAGTTAATTATGAAATATGACCCTCTGTGAGGGGGGGGATTTTGTTTAGCTCCCTGTGTAATGTCAGGAACCATGTTGTATACAACTAATTACAAGCCGTAATTCTCCTCTTAATTATTATTTTTTCCTTTCTATTTTACTGATTTTTACCCATTTCAGCACTGCATGGGCCAAGGTCACCTTGGGCACAGGCAAAGCTGAGCCTGTTGCAGGGCTGGCTTTAGCAAAGTTAATTCCAGGTCTGGAGGGCCTGGAAACCACTTTGCTGGATTAAACAAACCTGCCTATTTCAGTCTGGCCCTGTCAGGATATAATTTCAAACTTGGAAACCAGAGAAGCAAAATGACCCCTTTTGGTTCTGTTTCTTGTACTGATCTCTATCCTCAAACCGTGGATTTAGACAGTGGATACAGCTGAAAATGCATTTCTGTTTCCAAACGAATTAATGCTGCTGGTTTGAGTTCATTTGCACTCTTTTCCTTATCTGTAGATACTTCCCTTTGTTTCTATTATATAATTGCTACAATTTAAAGTTGTGTGTGCTGATCTAAGTCATGCATCTCAATCCAATAAAATCCTTTCTTTTTATAGAGAGGGAGCTCCAAAGACAGATGTTTTAGGACTCCCCATTCCATCAATTTTTTGCTCTTCAAATGTAATAAGAAATGACTTGGAGTCTTTTCTCTCAATCCCAGTAGGGAAAAGCTCACAGCCCTGCAGTGGGATCACAGCCCAAAGGGGGATCCAGCAATAATTAAGATTTTTCCCAGTGACAAATCTTGTGCATTCAAATTTCAGAATGGGCATCCCACCAAGGTGAACAAATCTTCTCCCAATCTATCCTCTCCACAAGTATTTCAGGAATATAAATGGGTTATTTTGTGCCTACATATCATTATTATTAGACAGTATTCCCAAGACCACCTCCACATTCCCAGGGGAAGCCCTTAATCCATAAACTATCCTTCCTTTTTATTTTCTCAATGAGGATCAATGTGATTTTAAAAGAGGGGGAAAAAAAAGAAGTAATTATGAAACATGTACTAGTTAAAGTAGTTTTACTGCAGAACTTCTCTGACTCAGAAATAAGCTGCTGTCCCCCTTCATCTTCTAGTTAATCAAGTGCTGAATTATTGGTTTTTTAATCGGCTTTATCAGTGAGAATTCTTGCTTGACCTTGACTTAATGTTTCACTAATTTCCTTCAGAATATTGAGTATTCCTAACATCAATTCAGACCAAAACCCCTCAGCTCCAAGTAAGGAAGAAGCAAATTAAGGGGGGAAATGCTTTTCCTGGGTTTTTTGATAGAAATTGATGCAGATTTTGGATGCAAATCCTCTAAATAAGAGGGGAAGGTTGCGGAGATTCCTGCTTCAGCCATTCTGAATTTTGGCCTCTTAGGATATCAGGGAAAAGCTTGTGTGCACTGATGAAATCTTCTCTTATGCCACAAAAAAAAAAAATTACCAAAAAGGACAACAGCAAACTGCAGTTTTAGGAGAGAAGTAGAAAAATTGAGTCTGTGAGAAAAGAAAGTAGAACCCCCCAAAAATTCTTTGTTATGGTTTAAATACTGCCACTCTCATTAGGTCCACTTGGCTTCCACAGTCAATAATTTTAAAGGGATCAATGTGGGAATAAGTTGTGGCACCAGCATAGAAATTATTTTTGTGGTTCTTAAGGAAGACTTAGAACATGTGGCTCTCAAACATTCTGAGCAGGAGGCTCTGTACCCCCACAAGGTGCTTTTCTGATTATTCTCTGTGGAAAATCTAAAGCTGTGCTCTAATATCTGTATTTATAGTCATTTCCATTTCACCCTGCGACTCAGTTTTGAAAATAGCGATTGTAAGGGGAGGGTATCACAGTGTTTCATGGGATTTAACATGAACTTCTGGGGGGTTGTGGCAAAAAATGTGCAAAAACTTTAGGAAAGACTCCACAGCCCCTGCAAGAAAACCCCCCCAAAAAAACCCCTAACAAACAAAAAATCTGAATTAATTTCACAGGAGTATGAATTAAAAAAAAGAGGAGGAAAAACCAAAACACAAACCTCAAATGTCCTTTCTGAAAGAGACACATTTTTCTTTACCCTTAGAAATTTGTAATTTCAAGTGTTTCTGTTTCTAGTCACCCTAACACCTGTGCAGCGGGTAATTTTTGCTGTATTTGTGCTTATGAATTCCAGTCAGACTAAGAAAAAATATAGTCTCATCTCCTCGCAGATGGAAAAGAAGGAAATGAGCATTTGTTTGAAAGAAAAATCGATGGTGAAGCAAGATTATGAACCTGGGTCTTGTGCAAAGCAATGCAGCATCCATAACTGGGGCCATTATTGTGCTCCATGAGAAGAAGTTTCAGCTTTAGGAATTCTCTGAGAGATGATTTTGTCTTGTAACAGCCTGTTCTATTCTGCAGCTGCTTTTTTAACTTTGCAACTTTACCAACATCCATTGACTGTCAAATAAGTACCACTGTGAACTCATGAATAAACATAGTTGTCATTTCCATATTAAGAGGGCCTTCAGCTGAAAAGAATCCATTTGTGCCACAGCAATATCTTAATTATTTACTGTGTTATATTCTAATTAATTGTGGTTTGCTCTCTCAAAACTCCATATTCTGTGGATCTCACGGGTTTTGGAAGCAATGAACTAATATTGAAGTCATAATCAACACTGCTTCTAAATATTCATGCCAATAAATGACTCCCATGTGTTTGCTGAGTGCCAAGGATAGTCTGAAGCATTTATTTAGCATTCTGGTGGGATCTGGTTTCTGCAGAGTTCACAGAGATGCAGAATTTCAATGCTGTTGCTGAGAAAGCACGTTTGGATTCTCACGAGCAGGACACTTTGGATAAAGCAATGGTATCTCACTCCCAGCCTGGGCTCAATAAAGCCTGAGAGCACTGGGGAGTTCTCAGCTATTTCTCATTTGAACAATTTTGTTTAGTCTATGACAGCCTCCCAATAATTTTGCTTTTTAACAAACATCTCTAATTTTTCAAACAATTTGAAAATCGCTGCATTCCAGGGACGGGGATGCTCTGTCTGTCACAGAGGCTCCACTGGGGCTCTGCTGCAGCAATCACGAATTCAGACACATTTCTCAATAAATCAATTAAACAGTAGAATCCTAAAATGCTTCTAGCTGCAATTGGCTGACACAAATCTCCAGAAAAGCATCTTGAGTGTATGGGTGAACAGCTGATTTATGGAGCTACTGTTGGAATTTCAAACAAGGAAATGCTGTCGTGCAATCCAGTGAGTTTGTTTAATTAAATGTAAGTTAAATGTAAACAGTTTTAAAATATATTTGAGCTGAGTCTTTTGGATCAAGAGTAGCCAGCATATTGCAAACTGTCCTTTCTCTTTGAAATGCAGTTTCCAGAACCTGTGTAGGTGCATTGCCCCTTCCTGCAAGTCTTTAGGCTCCACTGCTCCACATCCCCTCTCACAACTCACCCAAAAATTATTGGGTTTACCTTTGGGTGCTTGAGATGAAGAAGAACTGGGGTTTTAGAACCAGGGGAAAGGCAGTATGAAGATTGCATGCAGTCATGATGGTGCTTGAAAATGCAATCCAGATGTCCTGATCCACTCGGGAGTGCAACTGGGATTTCTGTGGGCTCTGTTGCTGGTGTTTTGTTTAGAAAGTTCTCTTAAATACTTGTATATGCATAAATACTTTGTATGTTGTCACAGAGATACTTGGTAATACTATTGACCATAATTTTATTGATATTTCACATTTTTTACTCTTGACAATCCTTATGTGTCCCTTTCAACACAGGATATTCTATGCCATTAATTCTGCAATACCACTTCTTCTTGCTTTTAAGATAAAACTTAATTCTGCCTTATGAAGAGCTTGAAATACATCTTAAAAAATTGAAATACATCTTGGATATTGGGAAGGAATTGTTCCCTGTGAGGGTGGCAGGCCCTGGCACAGGGTGCCCAGAGCAGCTGTGGTTGCCCCTGGATCCCTGGCAGTGCCCAAGGCCAGGTTGGACACTGGGGCTGGGAGCACCTGGGACAGGGGAAGGTGTCCCTACCAATGGGAACTAAATGATTCTTAAAACCCCTTCCTAGCCAAACCTTCCTTTGACTCCATGATGTGTCCGTTTCCCTGGCAGAGCCGGGTGCAGGATGATAGGCTCTGGGTTTGGACTCAGCCAACTCTGTTTTCCTTTTTCAGAACCACCCAGCACGGCTGCAGTTTGTAATTCAAGCTGAAAATAAACATCTGGTCATCAATCTGGAGAGGAATGAGTAAGTACCCTGCTGCATGGTCACTTTGTACTCTTGGAGGGTTGTAATTTTAAAATTAATGGTTTAAACCTGGGGCCAGTTTTGCTACTGGTCCCCTATAAGAGTCCCCTAACAAGAGAGTTTTGTTCCAGTTTGGATTATGGGTATTTGTGCATTGCTGATAGAGCAAGAATCTCTATGGTTGTGTGCATTTATGTGGGGATGAAAATGGACATGTTGCCTCTCAGGGTTTTCCTGTGTATTTCTTTTGGATGTGTCCTCCTTTCCTGTGGTAAGGCCTTTTATTTATAGTAATCTGGAATATACTACAGTCTCTGGAATTTTCTGGGGAGGACTCATCCTTCCTAATGCTGTCTGCACCCATCATGTGCTCCATGCAGTGTCCATCAGGAGTGAAGAGTCAAGACTTGGGGATTAACCCCTGCTGGAATGTTAAATGGAGCTCTCTGGGTTTGCTGTCAGGGGGCTGATGATGGGATGGTTGTGCTGTTCCTGCAGCCCAGGACCAGTGCTGGGCTTGAGCCTGTGTTTGTGTGCACCTTTTTCCATGTGCTCTTGGCAGATCCTGCTCATGTCCATGAGATTTCAGAGGGGAATCAGGGACTGCTGTAGATGTGGTCCCATGGGGCAGAGTTGTTAAAAACCAAAACCGTACAGGAATGAAATCACTGCTCTGGAAGTCCATGACAAATGGAAAAAGTCATCAAAGTCTTTGTCTACCCTGCAAGTGTTCTGTTTTCCCCTAAGAGAATCTCAAAGATATTTGGTGAGAATCCAGATCAGGACAACCGCTTGCTGTTTGTCAAAGGCAAACCAAAGATCACTCTCAACCCAGGGAAAACCTTTCATAACAGTTCCCAAGGATCTGTGAGTTGTGCAGGTTCCCCTGCTGGGGAATCAAAGCCACAAAAAGGTATTTTTTCAGTTTAATAGAGAGATGCAGTTGGATGTGTTAGGAGGAAGGAATGTGCCTGTGAAAGCAAATGTCCAGGGGAGGCCAGGGACATCCTGCCTCGGGCTGGGGATGGACAACATCAATGGAAAACCACGGGGCACCTCTTTAGGCCTCTGGAGTAAAACAGTGCAAGATGCTTTTTATTCCCAGTCATTTGGATGAACCCCAACATTACCCAGCTGTGATGAATTCCAGTTCACTTTATTACTTGACATCAAGCTCAAATCTTGAGCTTCCTTTATGTTATTTTTAATGCCCCTTAGCTGTTGGAAACCTGTCCTTGAAGGGTGTGTAGATCCCCCATCCACAGGTTGCTGTGTTCCAGTAACGAGAGGAGAATTTAATTCCTTTAGTAAACAGGGATTTCACTTTATATTCTCTTAATCTTTGTCAAAGGGTGTGCCTTCCTGAAGGAATGGGAAGTATGCAGCAATTGAGGAAACTATTTACATTCCATGTCAGCGATTAAAAGAACATAAAAACATAAAAAACCATAAAACTGCTAATACAGGCTTTGCTGAACATACCAAACTCTCTTGTACCTGTAATAAAGTCAGATTTAGAAGATTGTAAGATGCAATCTCCACCTCTTTTAGAAGCAGGACAGGAAAATGCAATAAATTACCAATACAGGCGCCTCTGTGACTGCGTGGATTTGGAGATGTTGAAATCTGCTCCTGAAGAAATACATTTATCAATTATTATTTTTCAGTTGGGGTAAACTGGGATTGTTTTTTTAGTTTGGTGGGGTGTCCATCTGGAGGTTTGCATTCTGGAAGAGCTGTGTGTGGTGTTGACAGCACAAGGTTCTTCATCCCAGCAGGAGCTTCGAGGCAGTGTTGTGGAATGGAACCATCAGCCTTGCCTGGCTTTGGCATTTGTAGCACACGAGGCAGTTCACAGACCCCAAACCACAGGAAAAAATTGGTCACAGTCTTGCAAAATAGTTTTGCTCTTTTCTTCACAATTTCTGACTTCGATTTTCCTAGGAGATTATGGTCTGGGTGTTGCAAGTCCATGCAGTTTTCTCAGCGTGTGCATGTGTAGGTCAGTTTCTGTTTCTGTAAATCACACCAGGCACTGCTCTCCAGGGCTGGGCTGTGCTTCCCAGGGAAAACAGTGCCAAGCTCTTTGTGCTTGTCTGTGGAAATTGTGGTTGTGTTTCTTCTGCCTGTAGTGCTGGTGTTGGTTTTGCTGTCACTGGCACAGGAGGTGACGGAGAAGGAGCACCCTGCTGCTTCCAGGGACTCTGCAGGGGCATGGAGTGGGAAGCAATGCCCAGGAGAGAAATGAGAGCCTGCATTTCTGCAGAGCAAATATCTGATGGCAGCAGGCCAGGCTGAACCTGTGGGTTCCTGACTCTAGAGGTGGGAAAAGCTCATCAAAACCCTGGAGAAGGGAGCAGCATTCCCATCCCTGTGTCCTGGGAATTTCCAAGGATACAGATGAGCCCCTGCTCCCTCTTTCTGATATTGGTGTGGAACATGGAGCTCAAATGCAAGCACTGGGCCATTACTCACCTGCTGCAGGTAGGAGTGGAGAGAGAAACACAAACACCTTGTGTGGAGTAAAAAGTGGCAGCACACGAAGCTCTGAGACGTGCTGTTATCTTTCTGTGGTTTCATGTAAAGCATTGGAGAATGGTGGGGGTGGAGGTGCATGGGACCCCTAATTTACATAATTTCTTCATTGGGTCATGCAAAAAAAACCTGGATGTGATTTTCCATGATTAGGAGGAACAGCTGCTTTGAGTAGTCTTGACATTAAACTCCATTTATTGAAAACCTTAGAGATTTTCCAAACCTTGAGTTATGTTTCAAAACACGATTCAGATACATTAGACAACCCCAAGTGGGGAGCAACGTGTGAAACCATCTGTTATCTGTGGAAACACTGAATGTCATTTTGGTGGTTTCTGATATTTAGACCCATCAAAATGTGTTCATATGTACTGGGCAAGATGTTCTGAGTGACTTCTGGAAGAGTTACTGGTACCTGACTTGGCAGCCTAGGGTTTGAAATCTTGATGGCTTGCAGCTGTTGAGATTACTTCTGTGGATATTCATTAAATACTTTGGTGATTAATTTCCAGGCGCTGCCCATTTGTAATTGCAACCCCAAAATTATTTGTGCTGGACTCAATTTGTCACAGGCAGAAAACCTGTGAGCGAGCTCACATTGCAAGTACATTCCTTACCATGATTTAGCTGCAAAAGATGATTGCACTCTTGAGAACCTTCAGCTCTGTAGTACCTTAAATGTTTTAGAAACACTTGTCATATGGAGAGATTTCCAGAATCAGCAAAGCATCCATCAGCTGCAAAATAAACCACTTTTTGGAGCAGCTGGCTGGGCTGGGGTGCATTACATGTGTAATACTGATGCTCTGCTGGTGTGCAAGGGACAGTAATGTATGCACTCAGAAATCCCTTGGAAGTTGATTGCAGCATGTGGGTCTTAGAGGGAAGCAGTTCACGGCTGTGTCAGTGAAACAGAGCCCCTGTAAGATTAAATCTGAGCTGGAGAGTGGAACAGTCTGTGGCTACTGGCTGTTTGTCTGTGACTGGAAACGTTTTGCTCTCTGTCAGGGCTAGGTCTGTACACAGCAAAGCTCTTCAGTGTTCTTTTAACTTCAAACATGTGAGTGACCCAGGTGAAGTCAGCAGAATTACTGATTTTCAAAGTTAATTTCATGCTTACATGAGCTGCTGATAAAGGTCGTAATTATGAATGTCAGAGCAATGTAACTGTGAACAGATGCTGGGGAACTCTCCCAGTGCTGACTCCTGTGTGTACCTGAGGCTGGGATGTCACAGAAGGATGAAAAGCTGAGATAAGCTGAGGGCATATGAGGGTGAGTATGGAGGGAGGATGGCTTTGTCCTTGGGGACATCAAGAACATCCCAGGTATGTCCTGGACAGTTTCCTTCTGCCAGGATTTCATTGTCCAGCTTTGCAGTGAGGGTGACATCAGTGTGGTTGTAGCTGGTGGGCCACTGGCAGTGTCCATTGGAACATGGAAATGGAAAGAAAAAGCTGGAATATTTCAGAGGAGCTGAGTTCACTCTTCATTTCCCCATCATTTTATGCTACTTTTTGTCAGGTTTATAGCCCAGCCTTAACAAAGCAATATAAAAAAGGCAATATATGAGGTTACATTGCTGCCTTTTATTCCCTCTGTAAAAATTCTTCCATTTTATCAGGAGAGAAAGTCCAACTCAGGCCACGGTATAAGCCTCCGTCTTATCCTATAAATCCCTTAGGATCCCCGAGAACTCCAGAGGTTTGCGTCACCTCTGATTGTCCCCTTTGCACATTTTCCACTTCTTCATGGAGACACAGTAGCCAGGATGGGTTGGGATGTAATGGCTCAGTGTTGGAGGTCACTCTGAAAGCTTTCCCCCAGGACTGAGGAGGCTCCAGCAGAATTCCCTGGGCTGGAAATCAGGCAGCAGCCATCTTCACACACAGTGCTGATATGACCAGCTCCAGTGAGGCTTCAGAGTTCAGCAATGTTTTGTTTCCTATTTTTGGTTAAAAAGAAAAGAAGTCGTTCTCTCCACTTTTCTGCCCGACCTCCCTGAATGGGAGCACTGATTGGTGTGCAAGTGACATTGGAGCTGGATTAATTTAGCAGGGAAACAACCCATTCCCAGTGCCAAAGGAAACAGCTGACAGGATTTGTTAATGAACTGACATGCTTCTATAGAATCAATGAATTGAAATACAGAGAGAGAAACAAATCTAAACAAACAAACCCCAAGCAGAGAGCTGGGACCTGTCAGAATATACTTGCTATTATAATTCTGTGCTGTGTTTTAGCCAAAAAACTGTGACCTCAGCCTGGTTTATCTGCAAGTGCTGGAGCTGGCAGCTGTACTGCAGCATTTCAGCCTCAGCTGACAGTTGGGATTTCACTAGAATTGAAGTAAAAAGTTTCACTTTACTGGAAGGAGCATTTTTCCCCTTCTGCAATGGTACCATGGCAGTCAGGTGGTCTAAACCACACCAAAATATGGCAATTCAGCCAGCAGAGCTACAGTAA